CTCAGTTTTTGACGCACGGCACTAGTATGGGTTGCCGCAGCGTTTAGCTGTTGATAGCGTGAAAGCGAGAGTGGAATTGGTCGAGGTAAACACAAGGGAAACGCTGAGAATGTTTTGTTTTTAAGTATTAAGGACATTCGGCCGGATAAACGGCGTCGTCGGTCACGTGACGTCGCCCTGCTTGACGTTTAACCAGGTGACCCTTTCACCTTATCGCTGTTGCACAGGCTCCTGGTGATCAAGCCCGTTTATGTTTGGGTGTTCCGTACACCACTGTTCCAACCTGGCGTTGTTTCTAGGGAAGATGATGATGATGATTCTGAAGAAAGGTGAGTTTGATGTGTTCATCCTTCATTGGTACCCCAATTCGTCTCACACTAGCTGTACAAAGTGATTTTTACTGCGCTAATTTTCGGGTCTCAACGTTCAGCTGGTGTTTTCTACATCCGCATGTATGCCCACACTGCGGAATTCTTCTCGTATTGGGATAATAAACCTAAGGTCAGCTTCACAATGTTGTGTTGCGAACTGTCTTTTGGATTCAGCAGTCAGATGATGTTGCGGACGGTGGGCTTCAGGAACACCCATTACTCTAAGCTACATAGGTGGTGTCACAATCCATTTATCCCGAATCCTTTTCCCGCCTATTTAGATATGAGTGAACGAGTGAGATTCCGCTATCGGGATAGATACGCTGTGTTCTTCATCTCATCGAATTGGAACTAACAAAACTTTATTCGTCCTGAATGCATCGGCTGACTGCTGTTTAGGCGTCTCGGTAGTTTCTGTTGGTTGATCGCTCGCAGCCATCCTGGAGAATCAGTCGGTTTGCAGTTGTTTCCATCACCTGAAGAAACTTTCGCCAACAAAGCACATCAGTTACAGCTGTGGCAATTTCGGCTAACAAGCAAATGTGTTTGATGAATCCTTGTGGTAGAGTTCAAATATTGTGTTTGAAGTAGGGTACCTACTACCTGTAACTGACGAGCTTCGTTATGGGAAACATGTGTATCATGGTACCTCTGTCCAAAGAAGTAGTTACCAATTGTTTTCCCTTGCAAAAAACCAAGAGATCACCAAAACATGTTTCCGCCTTGAGGTTACTGTTTACTGAATGGGGGGGATGGGTTCTCATAGAAATATTTCCATGAACTGATCTGAGTATATTAGCACTACCGTTAGAACGAAGATTGATGGTGACCCTCAACACTCAAGACCATGTAGAATCATCGCCTTCAATCGAAAAGTAAGATCTGATAAAAATATTTATTGGAACTTAATTCATATGGTGGCATTTACCTTGTCACTGATATCCATAGTAATCTTCCAGCATTCCAGGAGAACTACTGAGACAGACAGCTGCGGTTTAGAAGTAGAGTTTGGTTAGGAAGTGGTTGTCTTATTCGCGTCCAACACAGATCAGAATGTGCACCGTAGCTTTTGAACAACGGATGACCTCCCAGTAGTTTGCACCCTCATGAAGGAGCCCATGTCCAGCTAAACATTTTGTTTTGATTCGCAGACGACTAGTCGAATTGAAACAGTTTTCACATCATACTGTGACCGGTACTGTTAGTTTTTTAACAGTGTAACAGCTTAAGGCCATAGCAGTTTCCCTTTGGCCGTTTGATCTTCAGCCATATCAACCCTAAATCCAGTAGTAAAAGAAAGGGTGACAGTGCCCTCTCCCTGGATGGAGGTTTGAGGGTAAATTCGCAACCATGCCATTCTACGTAAACTCTGTTCGGGGTCACGAGTTACGTGTCTGGCAGTGGTTATGATCTACGTAGCCCTCTCCGACCTGTCCGTATTTCAGGTCATGAGTCTGTTTGTTGCTGAAACGGGCTCCCCACAAAATGAAGTACGGAACCCATGTTTGAGTTACCATCTTACAGTAAGCCCTAAAATCTACGTGCCTCTGTCCAAGCACTGCCACCGCAAAAAAAATTCATTCGAATAGTGACAAATGTCCAATGTTTATTTTATTTCGCAGTGCTCAACAGTTGATGTTGTACCTTGGGACCAGGGAAATTACACAGCTTTTGATTAACCATTCTCCGTAAATTTGAAGGGCCTAGAAAGCGCTCTTTGTTAAATGAATGTTTGTACAAAGCATCCCAATTGGGGAAAACCCGAAGCACCGGGAGTGTTGCTTGCTTGAAGGTTTCTTGTAAAAGAAGAGCGCTGTGTCAAAATAACAGGTTGGTGGCCTAACACTGGCCAGGGTCCGGTGGAGCATTGAGTCCGTTAGATGTGTAGGTGTTTGCAAACTGCGCAGCTTTCCAATCACTGCACGGTTTACAACACAACTACCCTTGTAGGGTAATCGCGGCAGAATGAATACGATTGGTGCAGAGGATTTACGTTGTTGGGGGCGAGATGGCCCAAGTGGTTAGAGCGCGAATTTACTGACCGGAAGGTCCGTGGTTCGAATCCGACCTTCCCCTGTCAGGCTTGGGCAACCTGGAAGTATCCCAGCCCTCATGCCACCTTCGGGTGGCATGGTAGTTAGGCGCCAGAAGAGTGCTACAGCTGGACGATTTACGTTGTTAAGTGGCACCGGTTGTATGTGAATTCAGATGTATCCCTGTGCGTGGTTTGCTACAGTGTCAGGTGGTTTTCAGGGCAGCGGGTTACTTGCAAAGACCACTTAAACCTTGCAGTTCTTAGAATGGTCGGAACCTATTCTTCAAGCGTCATGACTGGAATTCGATTGGAGACTCATTTCCAGTGTTCCCCGCAGAGAAGTTCTAATGCATGCGCAAGGCAACTTTGGAATATCCGATTAGAGTAAAAAGTTACCTAAGTACTCTGTGGTACGACGGTGAGGAGTATCGGATGAATGTTTAACCTACTAGAATTATCACTTGCTGCTGAGTCGGAAGACAAGAAAATAAGCAATACTAACAAATGCTCGGTTTATGCGGCCACTGACTGGCCATCCTTCCGAATTAATCTGCCATGTTTGGAGTCACAGATATAATCAAATCACTATACCTTTACGGTATAAACATCACATACCGTTGCTTACTCTGTTCCCTATGCACAGCTTTCCTGATTATAAACTGATCACCGCGAAAATAGTGATTAGCTCCAGCTCAAAATTCACTTGACTGACAAATATCAGCTCTGAGGAAAGCCTCCCGCCAATCGAGCTTTCCCTAATGCACTTTTTTTTAAAGAGTTGACCTTCCACGTCGTTGCTGGGTTTTCGTAGGAGGGAATGACGGGCTGAGTACAGTGAGAACTTTAATTTCACCCCCGCTATCAGCACTAATGTAATTTTGTTCCCTTGTTTCAGGGTTGCGCAGGGCTGATGCGATAATTGTGGAAAACTCTGGCAATGTTTCAAGCAAACCAGAACGTTCGCAATGTGCGGTTGGCTCGAACACAACCCTCGACATGAATTGTGACTAATCTGATGCCTGTAGGTAATGCGGGCTTTAACTCTGTCTAATAGTGTGGGCATGATGGCTTTTCCATCGAAATTACGGCTGGGCTTAACTATTTACAATGGTTTCCGTGGGCGTAGGTTTCGTTACTTTCTACCGATTTTGTTTTTTCCACCCCTGCTGTGAGCAGAAATCCAATGCCCAGTGTGATACTGCCAACGGTTTCCATACTTACCGAAGTCAATACTGTCTTCCAATTTGTCCGGTAACTGGAGCGCATGCGTGCACTGAGCTGCATTCTTCGAACCACTAGTTTGCCCAACCGTGAATACTATCCTGTAACCTACCTACTTTTCAGTTATGTGAGCTTGTGTAGACATATCGACGACATGCTCGCAGACATCCCTATAGCACAGACTTTTGTCACGTTTTAGTTTATTGTATCACGCGACTTTTTAGTGTCGTCCTGGTTTCTGTCGCTCACGGATAACCCTGATAACCACCTGCCTTCTGACAGAAGCTCTAGCGTCCACCTGCTTAGCATTGTCCAGCCACGTGATTCAGTCCGCGATTCCTGTGGATTTCCAGCGCGACCCACTGGGTGTTGTATTTTGGCTCTGTTCCGTACCTTGTCACTGGACAACCAAGAGACGAGACATATAGTCTGGGATTGGAGTAATATTTTGCGGGTATGCTGGTAGCGAGCATTTCCGGTTTCATTAGCTGAGACTCTTCAAATGAGACTAAACAAACTATCTTCCAGTTCCTGGTTAGGATTTCACTGGCATACAACCACAATAACTGATTTGGAAATAATCTTGCTCTGAAGATAGCTGATCTGTCGCACGCGCTATAACACGTCTACATCCAGAAACATTAAGTCAGACTGCTATTCGCAGTTGTTCTGTTTCCAATCAGACAAGCGGAATCATATGAACTTCATCCTGAGCGATGAGTTACATTAACGGTGCTTAAACTTGAGATGGCCTCCCATTAATTGAAGTCTGCTGCAACACAGGTCATCTGTTCTCTCATTGGATCGTGGAGTCGTTTGCCCTACTGGAAAACAGACCGTACGCCCCTCACGAAGCTTGAATTTCCCTTTTGTCTCTACAGGTTATTCAGTCTTGCAGGCTCGACCACAGGCTCTGAGGTTCGTGCTCCAACCTCATCGCCTGGACCAGGACCACGTGAATTGGTTTCGATGGCCACAGTGTTGAAGACGGATGAACTGGATTATGTGCACGATATCGTATTTGTCCGACACTTCCTACTTCTAGCACCTGTGTTTAACACGAAACCGATTGGTTTCTGATGGACTGAGTCGGCCACCTGAACTAAGTTCCACTATATTTTCACGTAGACGGTTCCAGATGTCTCTTAGATTGGGATACTTTGGTGTTCTTCAGGTAGTCAACTTTGCCTGATTGTTTTTTTTCATTTCCCATCGATTTGCGCTAATCCGCGCGACTGTGCAGTTTGGTAAAAGTGACTGTTGCATAATCCCTACCACAAGTCGCAAATTAGTACTGCTGAAGATCTCATCGGATCCCGAAATCCTCAGCCTTACAAGGCTGATGGAATCAGTCACACAACAAAAGTCTTTCACCGCTAGGGTTTTCGGACGCAGACTTAAGCTTTACTATCTCAACACTTGGTCCATTTCAAAGCCCATTCATTTGTGATAGATATCAAGTCCTTTATGAGGGTTGGTGTTCTGTCAGGTAAACTGTGGCGATTCACTGGATGCCCAACTACTTTGTCTTTGTCAACGTGTAATTTAAACAGAGCCCATATTTCGCATATGCCTTTCCCCGAAATCTTAGGCACTTCCCTTCGTCTGTTACAAGTGAAGTTTTGATTAGAGGTTTTGCTTCTTCAAAGTGAAACCACGCGCAAGTCTTAGAACTAGACTCGTGCACTTTGAAGCTGTTCTACATATTCTAGCCAGCTCACATGCCGTACTCATTCCTTGATGTCGTAAAAACTGCGTATAGTCCATGGATCGCTTGGAGTAAAAGTATGAGAGCTTCTTTGCTTATGTCATTTTGTCGCCAGGCGGTCTCAGCGCTATAGTGATGTTCGCTACCGTTTGCCAACATCTTTGCCGTTTTATACTCTGAAAAGTGAATTCCCAGCGTAAAAATGTGTAAAAATGAGAATTAGAACATTTTTGTACGTTTCAGTAGGAAGGCTATGTAAAACATCCAACTCGGCACTGACGATTTCACCTTGAAGCACCTGCAATCCAACTTCCAAGCTCGTCGAACAGACCAACAACCGAGCAGCGCACCCGGGTCACCTATATTCCGCAACAGCGCTAAGCTATACTCAAGACTGTCATATGCCGCACTCCACTAAATTGCAAATTTTTAGGATCTGAGGCATAACGATCTACCTCCCTTCAAACGTGCTGCAAGTACTAAGGACGTGGTTATAATTTCACTGAAAATCATGACCTCGGAAATGCTGAACTGGCTCACTTGAATGTGAAAGCTCAATTTTCTGTTGTAGAAATCAGCCTGGTTCAGACTGCGAAAAACAAGCGGCCTAAAGCAGACTATTTAGATGGGAGCCATTCGGTTGATGAACGGATGATCCTCGATGGATGGCAAACCCACACCATAGAAAGACACTATGGATCCATAAAAATGGTCGTAGAATAGCCCATTCACTTAGTGGATGACATCATCAATGATGTCATTTGGCCTATTCGCAGTGGAAGAAGTAGTAAATAGATTCGCAGTCCCGAAGGGCTAACCATGAGGAATGAGAGCAGATGACGCAGTGCCAAGACTCTTCCATAGATGGTAGCGTAAAAGTAGTGAGAGACTGTCCATCTTTCATCCGGTGGTTTTGCGTCTTGATTTCTATTATTTTTGAAACGACTTTTAGTGAGAATGGATTTTGCACATCTGCGGGTGGTATTATGCATCTTGCCTGTAAACAGACCGCAGCACATAAATGCGAATTTGTTTATCATCTGTATTTATTATCTTACTTCAACACAAAACCATGCCACGTCTGTTACTTCTGGATGAAATTGAGCTCCTAACAACCTAACGAGTTAGGTCAGTGTTTCAAGTACGACTCTTTTTCTTGTATCTCAAACTTCTCGGTACGATCATGGGAGCGCTTTGAATTTGCCAGAGTACGTGACAATCAGCTTCCGGAATCTTATACCGAATAGCGGGTGGACTTTTCAAGTTTAAGTGACATCCCAGCGATAATACAGGGTTTGATGCCATCGACTCGAGTGACTTTTCCTCATTTCTACTAAATACCATAATGTACCTTTCATATTTATTGGATTTGAATCGGATGGATTAGGAAGGTCGACGCAAAGCCCGTAGAAACGGCAGATTCTGTTAACTAAATCCACGAGGCGGCCAACTGGCCTGTTGTGTCTTTTTGGTGACTCAATCACTTTCTTAAACTAGAAGGGTTGATCAGTGAAGACAGATTTGCCAGGAAATGTGTTTGACGTCTTATCCCAAAACCGATTTAGGTATTATGAAAATGCAGGGCTCGTCATGGTAAAGCACTGTTCCAAACACGTCGGTCGTGAGATAGCCGCACATTTACTGACGAGGAACTGAAACAGACACAACAGTGATTCAGCACGTTCGCTAACAGAGGTGTTGCTAATGGTTCTTCTGTCTGCTTGCAAATCCGCCAACCTGGTAACCTACTCACCACTACTGAAGGAGTCGAAAGAGAAGTACTACCCAACAATTCGAAATGATGGCTTCTCGGTCGGTTCCAAACTTTGGCGCGCTAATTCTAGGTGTCTTTTTTCGTAGTGATAACTTCTCCAGAGGAACCAACATTATCTAACTAAAAAAGTGGAGATCTGTCGGTAGCACAAATGCTTAGGTAAACCAACCACGCCTTGTTCGGTCACGTCCAAATCGCTTTGCCGAACAGCTGAAAGGCGCGTTGGGAGGAGGGGAAGAGTAAGACCGAAAAAATTTTCGCCATTGCTACTCTTTATGGCGATCATGCTGAGGTGAACGCCGCTGCAACAGGTCGATGAACCAGTGTGAGTGGTTTGAACAATTTGGTCAGTTGATGATACTGGCAGCTTCACGCGTTCAGGCCAAATCAGGTCACTGTACTGTTGAACACTGCTTGAAGCTC